TTGGATAATACCAAGGGATTACTGATAATGGTGTTAGGTCTGACAATGGCATTATGACTACATAAGAAAATGTGTGTATTTTTAAGAGATGCACACTTAAGCACATAGGGGGTAAAACAACAGCTCTAGGATGACTGGGAGTTGGAGTCAGAGTGACTTTTTAAATATTCTTGATTTTGAGTTGCCTTCTTTATTTCTCTGAGGTTGAGTTTCCCTCTATTTTTACAAGTTTGAATTACTTTCTTTATTTCTCTGGCTGTGGGGGCCATGATGCTTATGGAAAGTGCTGTATACCTTGGAACTACAATCTTTTGATAGAGCTGAAAGAAAAAGTGACGAAAAAAAAGGTGAACTGTTTTAGAAGCTATTTATATATTCTTCCTAAAGGCTTAAAAATGAAGGGAGGAAACTCGCACCATCATCTTTAGGGAATTGCAAATATTCACAACCTTGTAATGCAAGTGAAGGTGGGTTTTCATCCTCAGGCAGCCTCCTGTCCTGGCTATTTTAAATATGGGAGCCAGATGGCCCCAAAACAGTGAAGGTGGCTTTCTCAACGGTACTCCAGAACTCCTTCTTACAAGGGTATTTGTATGTGATCTGCATTTGCCTCTCTTCTCTGTGTTCCATTTGGAGAAATAATGTAAATTTAGACCTTGAATCTCACATATAAATGTCAAGGCAATTACCCCTTTTGTTAACAAATGCTTACTTTGGATTGATTAAATATAACCCTAATGCATACTTAAGAGGAGAGAGATTTGATTATAGTCTGTGAAACTAAGTCTTTCAGTTTAGGAAAAATGAAAGCCTATAATTATATATATATATATATATATATATATATATATATATATATTTTTTTTTTGTACATATAAAATTTTACTTATATGTAATAAATAGATTTATAATGAATACATCTATTCATTCACTTTTTTAGCAGATAGAATGTTAAGTGGATTATTGAAAACAGGAAATGAACACAATAAAACCAAGTATCCAATACTTGAATATCTTTTCCTGAAAAGAGCAAGAGTAATGCATTATCTTCTTGAAGATGATTGAAAGTTATCACTTCAAATGAATTCTACATTATTCATAGGCCCCTGAAAATCATCTCTCTGTTTTTCTGTGTGAAAACTAAGATCTAATAGATGTTTTCCTAGAGGTACATTCATTCCTATACTATCATTCACATATTTTATTTTGGTCTCTTGGGAGAATCCTAATTATTCAACTGTTTGTTTTTCTCTTCCTGAGTTTCACATTGGGAAGAATTATTTGGGTTTCACAGACTTGCCAGATTATCAAGGAGCTTCAAGGACATCTAGTCACCTTCTGGCTCAAGGCAGGAAACTTATCTTGACAGTAACCATAACAGAAAGTCAACCTCTTCCTGAACACTTCCTGTGTCAGACAATTCACAGCTCAGTCCTCCTTCCCCGACCTCTAATTATTCATATTCTATTACTTTTTGACCCCTACTATTAATATGTATCAAGCATTTTGCAATTTATAGTTATCTTTTTATCTAGTTTTATTAGATTGCAGCACTCTTCTAATTACAAAATCCAATGCACATTCTAAAATCTCCATCTTGTTGGACTTCTGTAGCATCTTACACCATTATCGATTCCTTCTCTCTTGAAATGCTCTTTTGTTTTGGTTTCTTTGAATTTCTCTCCCAGTTTTTCTCCTTTCCATGTGACTTTCTTTTTTTTTTTTCCCTCAGTCTCTATGTGAAGGAGGTCTTTTCATCTGGGTACCCGGTTAGATAATATTTTCCACTCTTCTGTCTTTAGTTCTTCACTGTGTCTACATACTCCCACTGAAATGTTTAATCCATTTCTAAACTTTGTTATCATTGACTTCAATAATCCTTGTCTTGTCTTCTAAACTCTGGTCCTTTGTACATAGGCATGTCCTGAAATTTTCACTTAGACTCCCACAGGCACCCCAACTTCAGTTTTTTTTTTTTTTTTAAGATTTATTCATTTACTGCAGGGAGAGGCAGAGGGAGAGAAAGAATCTCAAGCAAACCCTGTTCTCAGTGAGACCTGACATGGGGCTCCATCTCATGACCTCAGCTGAAACCAAGAATCAGACCCTCAACCGACTGTGCCATCCAGGCACCCCTCAAATTCAACATTTCTAAAGCTGAAGTGTAGCCATTCTCTTTTCCCAGATTCTACTCACTGGAACTATGATCCATCCAAACAAATCTTGATGTTGTCTTCACTATCTCCCTTCCCCTTCTCTTAAATGTATCTTGAGCCCTTTTCTCCACTCCTGAAGCCACTGCATCAGTCCAGGCTCCTGTCACTCCTCAGGTTGGCCCTGTCTCATAACTCATTCCCTTCCAGTCTCAGATGCCCCTCCTACCCATCTCCACATGGCAGCCATGCTGGGGCCTTTCTAAAATGAAATCTCCTCCCTAGATTGAAACTCTCCCATGAGTCCACATTGTCTCAAGCCCAAACTCCCAAGCATAGCAGACGAGGAAGCCTTTTGTGAAGTAACACTCATTCCCATGTCCATCCTTACCTCTCTTCACCTTGTCCTCTATCCATTCCAAATCCTTGCCATCCCTCTGTATACATGAACTTCTACATGTGCACTCTTCCTGTTGCCAGAAATGTTTCTTATTACGAGAAATTTCTTTTGTAATTCTCATTCCTGTACCTATTTCTATTACTAGTTGCTGAGTTCCCAGAGATGAGCATACAGTGTAGGTCATTTTTCTCATCATCACGTCTGGTCCAGTATCTAGAACACAGAAAATTCTGCTTATTGAATTGAACATTTGAGTTATCCTTCTATAGACAGACTATAATTCTTGAACAGTCCCCCTCAAATACTGTATGCAGAAATAGCGACGTGTCTCACCTAATACAGATTTAAATGGAACTATTCATCTACTTGAAAAGGACATCTCTTTCTACCAAAATAGCTCCAGATAATAGTCGCTACGCTAGTAGGGTGCCTGCTGTGTGCCAGATATAGTAGTAAATATTGGAAATAATCTCTGTGCTCATCAAACTGCCTCTGTGCAGTAGCTGATAGGATCTCCATTTCACAGATTAGGAAGCTGGAGATTAACGTGTTCAACACTTGTCCAAGCAAAGACCTACTGAAATTGGGATTCAAACCAAATCCGAGTGACTCTAAGACCCAGAGTTTTTGTGCTCCTCAGTTCTGTCTTTGAAATTTTTTAGTAATTTCATCAGATATTTAAAATAAAAAAGCTTAAAGTCCATTAAAATCCACCATGGCCCCCTTTCTTCATTCTATACTTAAATGATTACGTCCCCCTATCTCTTAGATTCTGCATTTCTACTTATTAAAATGCCTAGTGCTAGCTTTGTCTTTTATTATTATTATTGTGATTTAAAGACGTTGTAAGCAAAGGAGATGAATTTCTTTCCCCGTGACATGGTTTTAGAGAATGGCAGCTGCAATGTCTTGGTGACCTTTGACATTTTTCCTCAAGGGGTCTCCTATCACTTGCTCAGTAATCCTTGCTGGAATTGACCTCAAAGCTGCCTGCTTTATTTCTTAGACTGTATCTATTTTTTTCTCTTTGAAAATCAGGATAGAATGTGTCCATCTTTTTTTAGTGACACTTCTGTACTTCTCTATGAATTTTTAAATTTTATTTATTTATTTTGACAGAGAGAGAGATCACAAGCAGGCAGAGAGGCAGGCAGAGAGAGAAGGAGAAGCAGGCTCCCCACTGAATAGAGAGCCTGATGTGGGGCTCGATCCCAGGACCCCGAGACCATGACCTGAGCCGAAGGCAGAGGCTTTAACCCACTGAGCCACCCAGGTGCCCCTCCATGAATTTTTAAAGGTGTGACAATATTTTCACGTCTACAGGTGTTTTTGTACCCTTCACTATCATTTGTCTTCTGTAGACACTTGGATTCCTTTTTATGCCTTCTCAATTTTATGGTGTTAGAATACATAGACTCAAGTGTTCCTAAGACACCCAAGAGGTCAGGCTTTCCTATACAGGGGGAATGAAGTGGCATATGAACGGTTCTACTCTGAAAAGACTCCTTAGTACTCTTAAGGCTCTTTGAAGAAAGTCACTTTATCAAATTCAAGCTGGCAAAGAGAGAGGAAAAACTCAAATATGTTCCTTATGAATATTCAAGGGGATATTTTTTCCAAATCTTAATAATTTTGGAAATGATGACAGTAAAGGTATTCCACCAAAGGAAGATCAAATTTCCTCCAATCAGATGATGCATCAAAAGGAGTGCCCCGTGGGTGCCTGGATGGCTCATGTCATAATCCTGGGGTCCTGGGATAGAGCCCCTTGTTGGGAATCCCTGCTCAGCAGGGAGCCTGCTTCTCCCTCTCCCTTTGCTGCTGCCCCTGCTTGTGCTCTCTCTCTTTCTGTCAAATAAATAAATAAAATCTTAAAAACAAAACAAGGGGCAGCTGGGTGTCTCAGTGGGTTAAAGCCTCTGCCTTCGGTTCAGGTCATGATTCCAGGATCCTGGGATCCAGCCCCCACATCAGGCTCTCTGCTCAGCAGGGAGCCTGCTTCCTCCTCTCTCTCTGCCTGCCTCTCTGCCTACTTGTGATCTCTGTCTGTTAAATAAATAAATAAAATCTTTAAAAAACAAAAAACAAAACAAAACAAAACAAAAAACAATGAGCGAAAGACTTTACCAGTTTTCAAATGCCAAGGCACTGAAGCCACACCCTTCTCAAAGAAACCAGGCTAAAGGATTCCTAGATATGTCACTTCAAAAACATCAAAACAGAAACTAAGGAAAACAAATTTAAAAGCTGACTTAAAAGGCTTGGTCCTAACTTATGAAACATAGGACAGATACGGTAGTAGGTAAAAACTACTGCAAAATGACTTATGATGTTGCCATGTAAATGAAAATAATGAGTTAATGATGTATTTAGTCAGGGTCCAATAAGAAGACAAAAACTGCACAGTAATTTGAAGTGGGAAAGTACAGTATAAAGAATTATTGTACCTGCTTCAGCAGCACATATACTGAAATTGGAATGATACAGAGATAATTAGCATGGCCCTGTGCAAGGATAACACACAAATTTGTGAGGCATTTCATATTTAAAAAGAAGAAGAAGGAGGAGGAGGAGGAGGAGAAGAAGAAGAAGAAGAAGAAGAAGAAGAAGAAGAAGAAGAAGAAG